TAATCAAAGTATGCAACTCCTCATGTTGGATTCCGTAGATATCTCAGGTCTTAGGATCCAATCATGGAACCGTCATATGAGATTCAAGTCATGACGCTAGTCCATGTGACAATCTCATGCGGGTCAATCCAGTATTCCGTTCTCCAACGAATACCTATGATTGTGATCGTATCCAAATACTTATGATCATCTATATGATCATCAATCACACATCATACGAGTCTTATTATGTCATCATTCCCATAATGACACAAGACTAGGGAGTTAAGTATCATTCATAATGATACATAGATTTCATAACACATCTAGTATGCAAGAACATGTAATGAATCAAATACTCTCATAAACCATAGAAAGTATCAATACATCAAATGTATCTAAATAAAGCTCATAAACAGTACATCATAGAGCACTAAACCAACAATTTGCTATGATGGAGGAACATGTTTAAGGAGGTGATTGTTGGAGTTAAGCATGTTCCTCACGTGTGGGCTTTTGACTTGGTCATTTATGATTGTTTTTATTTTAGTTTGAATAAGTCTTCAAAGACGAAGATGACTATCGAGGAAGTGAAGGGAGCACTCAAGGCGCATGAAGAATGCCTATAGGATCTCGATTCGAGGGTTGACGAACATGTGTTGTTAGCACGCGGTGAATGGAAAGGTCGCGGTCACGGCCGAGGAAAATGGCATGATAGAGGTCGTGGTCATTTAGGAGGTGACAGAGGTAATCAAAGGTTCGACATAAGTAAGGTGCAATGTTATAATTGTCATAATATGGACATTTCAAGGTGAATTGCAAGGAGAAACAAGTACATTTGGTGGAAGACGATGAGGAAGAAGCTACTTTGCTATGATGGAGGAACATGTTTAAGGAGGTGATTGTTGGAGTTAAGCATGTTCCTCACGTGTGGGCTTTTGACTTGGTCATTTATGATTGTTTTTATTTTAGTTTGAATAAGTCTTCAAAGACCTAGTATAACGCATGTCTTCTATATTTCTAGTTTTGGTTTGTTTTTTTATTCATTATAAATAAAAATGTAAGCTCGGCATATGAATAGAGTGTGGGTTTTCCTTAAGAAATTTTCTCATCAACGTATTGCTTTATTAAATTATTTTTTATGCATTCCATTATCTTTGTTCGATCTCTAGCTCATTTTTTAGTCTACAAGAACCTCCACCCATTTGGTTACGTAGTCAACTGCAAGCATAATGTACAAGTTTCTACAAGAAGAGGGAAAAGGCCCCATAAAATCTATACCCCAAACATCAAATGGTTCGACCTCGAGAATGTATGGTTGGGGCATCTGATGATGACGAGAGATAGTACCTGTATGTTGGCAAGCATCACACGAAGACACAAACCTGTGGACATCTTTGAAAAGAGTGGGCCAATAGAAATCGGCTTGAAGCATTTTGGTTGCAGTCTTGGACGTCGCGAAATGTCCTGCGTAGTCAGAAGAATGACAATGGGAAATAACATTGAGAATCTCACCTTCTGGAATGCAGCAACGGAAGAGACTGTCTGGTCCTCTCTTGAACAGGAATGGATCGTCCCAATAGTAGTCTCGAACTTCGTGAAGGAATTTTTTTCTGGCGTTGTAACTCAGATCAGGTGGAAGAACCTGACTTACTAGGTAGTTCACGTAGTCAACATACCACGGGAGAGTAGAGATGGCGAAGACATGCTCATCTTGAAGATTGTCATCGATGGGAAGTTGTTCTGGAAGTTCAAGACATGACAAATGATCAGCTACGCCATTCTTAGCTCCTTTCTTGTCCCGGATCTCAAGGTCGAACTCTTGAAGAGGCAGTATCCAACAGATGAGACGTGGTTTAGCATCCTTCTTGGAAAGTAGATATCACATAGCAGTGTGATCGGTGTAGACTATGACTTTGGATCTGACAAGGTAAGACCTGAATTTTTCGAACACAAAGACAACAACAAGCAATTCTTTCTCAGTCGTGGTATAGTTTACCTGAGCGTCATCCAAAGTTCTGCTGGCGTAGTAGATAGCATGAAGAACTTTGTTATGCCGTTGTCCAAGCACGACTCCTACAACATAATCGCTGGCATCGCACATAATCTCGAAAGGCAGATCCCAATCTGGCTGTTGAATGATGGGCGGGGAAATCAACGCTTTCTTTGAGCGTTTCAAAAGCTGCAAGGCAATCATTAGTGAAAACAAAAGGCACATCCTTACATAGGAGATTCGTGAGAGGCTTGGTGATCTTGGAGAAATCCTTGATGAAGCGACGACAGAAGTCGGCATGACCAAGGAAACTTCGGATGGCTTTGACATTGTGCGGAGGCGGTAGTTTCTCGATCACCTCGATCTTTGCTTTATCTACCTCGATGCCTTTATCAGAAATTTTGTGTCCAAGTACAATGCCTTCCTGTACCATGAAGTGACACTTCTCCAATTGAGCACTAGATTAGCCTACAAACATCTATCCAAAACTTGACGCAAATTTATCAAACAAACATCGAAGGAAGGTCCATGGACAGAGAAATCATCAATGAATACTTCCATCGAGTCTTCAATAATATCGGAGAAGATTGCCATCATGCACCGTAGAAAAGTAGTAGGGGCATTGCATAGCCCAAATGGCATACGCCGATAAGCAAAGGACTCGTAAGGACAAGTGGAAGTCGTCTTCTCCTAATCATTAGGGTGAATAGGGATTTGAAAGAATATCGAGTAACCGTCAAGAAAGCATAAATAAGAGTGAAGAGCAAGACGTTCAAGCATTTGATCAATGAAAGGTAAAGGAAAATGATGTTTGCGAGTGTTCGCATTTAACTTCCATGCATATACGCCAGCCCGTCACTGTTCTTGTCGGTATCAACTCATTCTTGTCGTTTTTTATCACTATCATACCACCCTTCTTAGGGATGACTTGAACCGGACTCACGCAAAGGCTGTCGGAGATAGGGTAAATGATACCTGCATCCAAAAGTTTTAATATCTCTTTCTTGACAACTTCCTTCATCGATGGATTAAGTGTGCGTTGATGTTCGATGGACAAACATAGTTCAACTAATACTAATATTCCTCTGGAATCGTCTTCCAAATAAATTCGGTGCATGTAGAGTGAAGGGTTGAGACTTTTGATGTCATCTAGGGTGTACCTGATAGCTTTCCAATATTCCCGCAGTGTGGTGAGTAAACACTCGAGTTGTGAATCATCCAAAGCAGCATTGACTATAACAGGGTAACTGGATTCTAGACCGAGAAACATATACCTAAGCCCAATGGGCAGGGGTTTCAGCTCGAGCTTCGGAGCAGTGGAAGGACCTCAATCAGGTAGAGGATTCATGGAAGTTGATTAGATGGTAGAGACCGAAGAGGATTCGAACAGTGGGAGAGACTCGAATAGGATCCATAAATCAACACGGTCCGTGTTCATAAAGGACTCAGCTGTGGCGTGTCGTGCACGGGTTATCTCGTGATGTTGCACGGTCGTGTCAGGTAATGCATATTTGCTCAGACAATTAACATGGTCTGTGTTAACATTTAACACGGCAGTGTTGCGTGAAGCACGATCTAAGTTCATAGAGAACACGGGCGTGGCATGTTCAGCGTTGTTCGGCAGAATGTCGACACGGTCCGTATTCACACCCAAAACGGCCGTGTTGCATGGCATTTCATCTAACCCGTCTAGAAACGATGTGTATGCTTCGATTTCACGTTCCGTAAAGGTACTGTAACCCTGTTCAACAATGAGAACAATAGAGAGGGCATCAAATCATGAAATTCAAAGAGTACCTCATCAGCTAAGGCATCCATCAAATCGATGTAATAAATGGAATCTACTGTAGATGGTTGCTTGAAATTTTGATCGAGCTTGAATTCCACCGTTTCATCGCCGATCTTGAGTGTCAAATGGCGTGCACGAACATGGACAATGGCATCTGCTGTGTTCAAGAATGGGAGATTTTGGAATCCTCGTCCATATCAAGCACCACGAAATCGATAGGCACGTAGTAATCGCCGACTTTCAGCGGGACATCATCGAGAATACCCATAGGATATTTGACAGAGCAGTCAGCTAGTTGGAGAGCCATAAGAGTTGCCTTGAGTTCTCCCACGTTGAGTTTCTTGTAGATGGGAAGCGGTAGAAGACTTACATTGGCACCTAGATCACAAAGAGCACGATCTATAGAAACATTTTTCAATTTGCAAGGAACCGAGAAACTACCTGATCATGCTGAAGAATGGCGTTGCACTCAGGATTGAGTGTGATGGACTCCTTCTCGATGACTCGTTTCTTTGTGAGAATGTCCTTCAGGAATTTGGCATAGGATCACATCTGAGTGATAACCTCATGAAATGGCATAGTAATCTCCAACTTACGCACCATATCAGCAAACTGAGCAAATTGAGTGTCCTCCTCAGTTTTCTTGAGTCATTGTGGGAAAGGAACTGGAGGCGAACGTGGTGGCGGTGGCACATATACATCGCGTTCTTCGTCACCGGATGTCTCTGTCGATTTTTCTGTAGCTATAGCGTCAGGAAAGGATGTAGGAACAGAGTTAGAGCACTGTCCTTGCTCTGTAGACGTGACAACAGGATCGACGAGCTCTTTGCCGCTTCGTAGGGATATAGCATTACAGTGTTCTAGGGGATTCACTTCCGGATTCCCGGAAAGTGATCCCTGAGATCGCGAAGGTACAGAGGCAGCAAGTTGCGCTATCTGGTTATCAACCAACTTGAGATGGGCATCGATTTTCTGCTGATGTTCTCGCATCTCGGTGCGCATGGCTTCTTGATCCTGCATAAGTTGTGCAAACATTAATTTAAGATCGAGATCTAAACTTACTTGCGGTTGAGGCGGAGGCGCAGCAAAATTCTGCTGAGGCTGACGGGGTGCTATGTAGTGTTGAGGGGCTTGGTTCTGATGCTGAAAGGTATTCCGGGGTTGAGATTGATTTCCTTGAGAAGAACCCGGAATAGCTGGACCGCCGAAATTGTTTTGATGAGCATTCAGAACGTTGGAGGAGTTCTTGTATGAGAAGTTTGGGTGATTCCTCCAACCCGAATGGTATGATTTTGAGTATGGATTGTTGGCAACGTAGTTGACATCTTCAGGCACGTACTCATCTCATGGTGCGTCCAAATCAGTTATCTGATGAGCGTTTTCTACCTGCATTCTAAGTTTTGCCAGTTCTGCACGTAAAGCTTGTATTTCGAATTGACTTTTCTTACTTGCACAGTTGTCTTTAAGACCAATACTTTTCATGAATTCATGGGAAGGGACGCACTTCTTAGCCATCTTTAGTGATCTGTTGTTCAATGAAGTCGAAGGACTTCTCATCGAGGCTTCCTCTACAAGCAACTCGAATGAGAACCCGAGTATCTTCCTTCAGATCCTTCAAGAAAGTGGAGATAAGATACCTCTTGTCCAATCCGTGATGAGGGCAAAGTCATTGATATCCAAGGAAGCGGTCCCAAGTTTCGCGCAACAATTCATCAGGTTCCTGCATAAAAGAGTTAATTTGTTGTTTTGTGAGCTGGGTCTTGCTAGCAGGGAAAAATCACTACATGAATTTCTCTTGCATCTGATCCCAATAAAAAAAGGAATCTGGTGGCAATGTGTGAGCCATTCTAGCGCAACATCCATTAAAGTGAATGGAAAAGCCATGAGCATAAGTGACTCATCGTTTACTCCTTGAACCGTCTTCACAAACTTGCATAGCAGTTTGAACCGAGTCAGATTGGGAATTGGATCTTCATTAGGTCTGCCCCTAAACGCTGATGAGCTGAGCATGCTGATGAATGCCGGCTGAAATTCAAACTTGTTGCGATCTATATCGGGTCGGCCAATGCATGAGAGTTGTTGAGTGTACTTCGGCTGAAGATATGCCCCATAGGTGTCATTATCATTCTCAACAACTAAAGCACGTTCCTCCATCTTCTTCTGTTGTTTCTTCTTCTTCCGATTGCGTTTGGCAGATTTCTCGATCTCAGGATCAAGAGGAACTAGGTTGTCAGACCCAGAACTCCTAGTCATATACTAGAAAAGCCTACACACCAGAAAAATAGAACAAAGAACGAGAATAGACCACGAACTGGATAAAGGTAAGTAAGAAGGGATCTAGATTCAAAGGAATCTCTATCTTAGTGCTAAACTATTTCCCGACAACGGCGCCAAAAACTTGATAACGCAAATCTAGGTATAGAAATAATGCTCAAGTGATAGAAACCAAGACACAACGATTGCCGTAAGGATACAGATCAACTGTAGTATCAGGGTTGAACATAGGGAATAGTTAACTTTAGGAACAAGACTCGACCAATAATTAGATCAGGAAATATAGAATGAAGTATGTGAATATCGTAAATAAAGCGATAAACAAACTAAGTGAACTCAGATAACTAAACCACCGTAGTTTCGGGATAACCTTAACGCGCAGGGATGGTTTCTAAGGATGGAGAATCTACGAATACCAAACTCTAATCGGGGGTCTCAAGTTCTAATATAAGATTTGGCTCTTTCAAGTCCTAAATATACTATTCAAAACTTATCGATCTCTCAACCTAATAGATTAAAATATCAAACGCATTAACAAACACTATCACGGTTCCTAAACCGATTAACCTATCTTTCAATAGTCTTAATCAATTCATTCAATGAATTCGTTCCGAATCTAATTCCAACTCTTTACCAATCTGAATCTAAGATCAATCAATCAACAGGCCAAGAAGATCAAAAGCAATAAAATCAATTCAATTAAACCGACGAGTATCGATAATGTAGTCTCGAAAAATAAAAACCAAACAAATTCCTACAAGGTTAAATCCCTAGCTATAGTAAAATGACTACTCGCAACCCATAACAACAAACGAGTTCAAATCAATAAAGAGAAACATGAAAAACAGATAGAGAAAAAACTCACAGCGATCTCTCGACGACGATTCTTCAATCTCTACTTCCGGAAACTCCGTCTTGATTCTCTCTCGAGTTCTTTGGCTTCTGCTGTGATCTCTCGATGATTTTTGAGGTCCAAGACGTCTCCTATTTATTTGTTTATCGGCTAGGCTTCTTCCTTTGTTGAAAACGGAAGTTCGGATGCAAAATAGGAAGTTTTCCCATAATGCAACACGACCGTGTCAAATGACGATACGGTCCGTGTTAATTGTCTGATCAAACTTATGCACTTCTGCACGGGCTGAACACGGGTGAGCTGCAAATCGACATGATCGTGTCAATATATGACATGGTCCATGAAGATTGTCTATAATAATTTCTTTGTTTCTTCATTTCTGTACGACCATGTTTGAACTCGACATGGTCGTGTTCAGATGCAACTCGAGCTAGAAATGTCCTTAGCGTTCCGTTCCGATTCAATTTGCTCCAAAATCCTCGATTATGCTCCTCTGGTGCTCATAATATATTTGTTACCTGTTCACCCACCAAAGAATGCAAATGGAACAAAACCTAGTCCTAAAATGTTCTTCAATTTCTAATAGTGCACAAAACCGATGGAAAAGTGCTAGAGAATGGGGCTTAAAATAGAGAAGAAAATCATGTTATCACATTCATTAATTTTTTGATTTCCAATCTCAAAATCCTTTATGGTATTAGAACCTAAGGTCTAAAAGAACCCTTGATTAAAAATCCGCTGCACATGCACCATATTTTCTTGTTCATGAGAAGTACTGAAGAGGAACCTGCATTCTCTTTTCATTTTCTTGCATTTGTAGTACGGTTTTCAGTGAGAACATCACCATTTCTTGTCCCTCTTGGTCCTATTCAAAAAAAAAACTATGCCCTTTCAGTCTCATTACGAAGGCTAGAGGTGTCAGAAAAACCCGGGGCCCATTATCCGACTTGAACCTGCCCATAAAATTTACGGGTTTGGACCTAGGAAATTGAAGCCTGATCATCCATTGGGTCAGCCCAGGCCAGTCTGAAAAATGCGGGCCAAAATGGGGGCTCGGACCGGACTGGTCCGGCTCGGCTCGTCGAACCGAATAAATAAATAAATTATATATTATATAATATAAATATACATAGATATAGATAAATATATATACATATATGCATAAATATATACATATTCATTCACTAATATTTAATAAATTTTATTATTATATAAAAAATAAAAAATTTGAGTTTTAATTTCTCTTAAATTAAGATATATATTAATAAATATTTTTATCAAAATTCTGTTTTTCATTATCTTTAGTATATATTATTTTTTTTATTTTGATGATTTTTTATTAATAGTTTTCTTTTTGTTATTTTGTTTTTAAAATTTAAATCTAAAATTCGGTCCAAATCCAAAAAAATCCCATTGGTTTACTTTTCTTGGTTTTATAGATAGTATACACAATGGCTTGATATTAGGGTTGGACACGGGTCGGTACCCATGATTTTGGAGATACCCATTTTCGTCTTCATCTTCACGGTTTCATGAAAACAATGTCTCATTCTCTATCTCATTAACACTAGGTATTCGTCGACCAGGTACCCGTGACTAAGAGACGGGTACCCTCGGATATCCATACCCGTAAAATATATTTTTTAAATAAATATAAACCAAATATTTAGTAAAATTATATTATTTAATTCAAAATATGTTTAAAATATAAAAAAAATATCTATGAATATATAGATTTATAGAATTTTTTAAATATATATGTTAATTTTTAAAAATTTAAAACTTATATTTAAATAAATAATTTAAAAAAATATAGCAATATTTGATATTTTTTTAGATATTTACGGGTACCCACGGGTACCGTCTTGAGAAAAACGAAATCCGTACCCGTCTTTGTTTTAATCTATTGGTACTCATTTTCGTCTTCATACAGATGTGAGTACCCATTTTTTGGGTACCCTCGAGATCGGGTACCCTCGAACCTGTGGATAACGAGTATAAATGCTCAGCCCTACTTGATCTTGCAGGTTTAATCATCAAGTGAACCCATCATCACTCAAGAGACAAGGCTAATGTGGTGTCAAGAACGAATAGCGGTTTTAGACAATGGAATTTTCGAAACTCTATCGAAAGATGATTTAACTAACATGGCCACTATAAGAAATGTTTAAATTTGCGACGGAATATTCTGTCACAATACGAACAAGATTCTGTCGGTAATAAAGAAATGCGATGACGACAAATGTTATTCCGTCGCTAAATCATTGTCGCAAAATCCGTGTGGTCGGTAATCTGTCGTGATGTTTCGACTACATACGTCTGTAGGTAGCTGTCGTTACATTGCGATAGATTTATACTTTTCGGTATACCGTCGTTAATCGAAAAACGTCGATCTGTCGCACATATACGACAAAAATATCTGTAGGTCTTTGTCACTAACTGCGACACAGTTAAAATATCAGTAGTGTAATACGAGCCGACAAGCATTGGAAAATCTATTGCAAAACTTTTGTCGTTACTTAGTGATAGATGTATCTGTCGGTAATCCGTCGGTACTGTAATTGTCGGAACTTCACGATAACCTTTCTTCTGTCGGAATAATACTACAGATATATTTGTCTCATTCCGTCGCAATATTGAATAATTTTTTTTAAAAAAATATTTTATTTATAAAAATAAAATATTTTTAAAAAAAATTATTATTATATAAAAAATATTTGTTAAAAACAAAATTTAAAAAAAGTAATTATTATATAAAAAAATACTTATTTAAAACAAATTACCCAAATAATTATCCAAATATCTGATGCGGTACATTGTTTGTCGGAAGCTGTGGAAGGTTCGACTCTGCGTTAGGGTGTTGTAATGACTCAAGGCCACTACAGAATGATAGAGTTGTCCCCACACACCAACACAGGACCTTTTAGCATATTTTGTACTCACTCGCACACATCTCGGAAAGTACTTCCCAGTGAACGATATCGAGGGTTTTGGAAAGTAATTTTCTCTTAAGTATTATTGATGAATACAATACGTACTTATATACAATTGAGTTAACTGAATTATAGAAACTAAATAACAGAGAATAAGGAGTGATTGAGAGAGAATATTGGTATACGATAACAAACGAGATATCAAAAGATATCCTTTCCATTACGCCCCTGCAAGATGTGGCGCATGAGCGAGACCCATTTTGACGCGAAGAAGATCAAACCATGCTTTCGGGAGAGGTTTTGTAAGAGTATCCGTAAGTTGATCTTGAGAGGAGACATGAGTGACGCAAAGGAGACCATCTTGTACAAGCCCTCAGATGAAATGGTAGACAACCACAACGTGTTTCATTCTCGAGTGAAAAACTGGGTTGGCGCAAAGATAAGTTGCACCCACGTTGTCACAGTAGAGCACGGGTTTTGTTGATGTCGAAACCCCAAGTTGAGAAAGAAGAGACGACAACCATCATAACTCAGCCGCTGTGGAAGCAACAGACTTATACTCTACCTCGGTGGAAGAACGAGCCGTAGTTCGTTCCTTTTTGGAAGACCAGGATATGGGATGATTGCCAAGGTAGACAGCGTGAGCACTAGTGGACGTAAATTCATCTCGGTTTCCACCCCAATTAGCGTCGGAGAAGGCATGAAGAGCAAAAGAATTTTCCAAAGACATGAATATACCGAGAGAAGGGGAGCCAACCAAATAGCGCAACACTCGTTTTACAGCTTGCCAGTGGTCAGTCGTCGGACGGTGCATGAATTGCGACAGTTTATTGACCGTAAAGGCAATATCTGGACGTGTAAAATTGAGATACTGTAGGCTACCCACCACATTGCGATACTCGGTCGGATCATCCAATGGAGAGCCGGAGTGAAGAACAAGGGATGTCGTTGAAGACATCGGTGTAGCTACAGTATTCGCATTAAGCATATTGGTACATTTAAGGAAATCCGAAACATACTGTTGCTATGTGAGGAACAGACCCTTGGGGGAGCGAGAGACTTCCACACCCAAAAAAAACTTGAGATCGCCGAGGTCCTTGACGGAAAAACGATGAGAGAGAAGGTTATTGAACCGTTGGCAGCGTGATGAGTCGTTTTCGGTGACCACAATGTCATCGACATATACTAGAACATAAATGACGATGCCATGGTCCCGGAAAGTGAACAGAGATGTGTCCGCAAGAGAGTTCTTGAAGCCCGACGATATGAGAAATTTTTGGAGCTCGGTGTACCAAGTCTAGGAGCTTGTTTAAGCCCATACAATGCCTTATGCAATTTGCACACGTGAGAGGGTTGATCTTGATCGACAAACCCTGGTGATTGCACCATATAAACATCATCATGGAGACGACCTTGAAGAAACGCGTTGTTCACATCTAGTTGACGCAGTGGCCATCCAGAAGTAACCGTGATGCTCAGGACAAGTCGAATGGTTGCCAGCTGGATAACCGGACTAAATGTGTCATGATAATCGATACCCGATCTTTGGTGAAATCCCTTCGCCACTAGACGAGCTTTACACCTGTCAAAAGAACCATTAGCTTGTCGTTTAATTTTAAAAACCCACTTACATCCCACTATGTTGTAGGAGGGATGCGAAGGAACCAACTCCCATGTTCCTCTTGACAAGTGCATCAAATTCCTCCGTCATCGCTTGTCTCCAATGGGAAGACTTAAGAGCTTGGGAGACCGTCGTTGGTTCTATGTCCGGGGGAGGAGAGATGGATGAATGGTGGGCAAATTTAGTGGAAGGCTTGATGATGTGATTTTTGGAACAGGTTGTCACCGGATGATGGTTTCTTGTTGGGCAAGTAACAACGGAAGAAACAGGGGATCATTTGGTTCGGTGTTTTGTGGGTATGGTGGATCAGATTCATTTGAATGAGGTTGAGGATCGATATGTGTTGGTTCTTGGGCATTTGGTGGTGAGGGCGGGGAGATATGTTCAGCTGGAGAAGGCGACGGTGATGCATTTGCCGGCAAATAATCGCGATTCAGAGGCACATTCGGAGCTTGTTGCGTCATGAGTGGACCACGAGGAACCAGGAAGTGAGATGGTGAGTGTGATAAGGAACTAGACTTGGATGACGAAGAAGGGACGACCGAAGAGGAAAATTTTGTATATGGGAAGACAGACTCGAAGAAGGTGACGTGCCTAGAAGAATAGATGCGAGAGGTAATGGGTTCAAGACACAGAAAGACACTTTGTGTGAGGGAATATCCAACAAACACACATGGAGACGAACGGGGATCGAGCTTATGATGTGAGTAGGGAAACAACCAAGGGAAGCAAAGGTAACCAAAAGTGCGGAGTTTGGTGTAATTGGGCGAGGTGGCAAACAATAGTTGAAAAGGTGACTTGTAACCGAGAGTTTTGGTTGGAAGCCGATTGATAAGATAAACAGCGGTGGGGAATGAAAAAGACCAAAGCGAGAGCGGCATGAAGGCTGCGGAAAGAAGAGCTAAACCGGTTTCCATGATATGTCGGTGCTTTCTTTCCGAGATTCCATTGTGCTCCGGGGTATGAGGAGGAGTTGTGAGGTGAGTAATGCCGTGAGAGGAAAGAAAGGATCGAAAGGCAATATATTCACCTCCATTATCGGAATAAAGGGTTTGGATTTTGAGTGAAAAACGATTTTCGACGAGAGATTTGAACCGAGGAAAGACATCAAGGACTTGAGATTTTCGGTGTAACGGATAGAGCCATGTATAGCGGGTATGATGATCAACAAAAATTACATAATATTTGAGACCATCAATGGATGTAACGGGAGAGGTCCATACATCAGAGAAAACTATTTCGAGAGGTTGCGTAGAAATAAGAGTAGACATAGAGAAAGGAAGTTTATGGCTTTTATTGATTGAACATGGTTCACATAACAAAGGTTTGGAAGAATGAGACGACAAAGGGAGTGAGAACTCATGAATTACACGATTGAGGACATTGGACGAAGGATGTCCTAATCGAGAATGCCAATCCAAGAGACTCGTTTTTATTGCGGAAAAGACTTGAGGAGATGAAATTGGAAGGGGGGAAGGAACCAAGGGCCACTCATAGACACCATCTTTAAGCGATCCGGTTGTTATTGACGCCCCCATCACGAGATCCTTTACCTGAAAATACAAAGGAAAGAATTCCACCGAGACCTTGTTAGTGGTACACAGTTGGTGTATGGAGATGAGATTCTTATGAAGAGAGGGAACACATAAAACATTAGTAAGGGAGAGAGGTTTCGAGAGTGAGGAGAAAGACATAGAACCTGTATGAGAGATGGCATGGGTGGAGCCGTCTCCAAGCTCGACATCTTCACCACCAGAGTAAGGAGTGTGGAGGGATAATGTCGCCAAGTCGGATCTGATGTGGTGGGAGGCGCCGGAGTCAAGTAGCCACGTTGGGGACGAAACAGGGGCCGCCATGGTGTGATTAGCTCGAGGTTGCGATGAAGGGGCGGAGTTATTGGTGAGCACAGCACCGGGAGGAAGAAGATGGCATCGTTTGGCACTATGGCCAAACGTACCACATAGCTGGCATTTACCTTGATAGTCGGTGCCTCTCCGAGTACGTGGCTGTGAAGAGTCCGAGGAGGAGCGTGGTTAGGACTGAGTCTGCCAATTTGGCCGAGAAGCGAGGTTTGAGTTCCTCGATTGAGTGTTGTTGGCCGAAATTGGGAAGACTGGAGGAGTAACATCGGCGGTCATAATAACCGACTCATTATTGAGTAGCTTCTCATGTAGCTCAATAAAAGAGATAGGGAGATCACGAGCGTTGATTGCATCGGTCACGGGCTTGTATTCATCTCCCAATCTGGACAGTACGAGATCAATGAGATCTTCATGATCAAGAGGCTTACCAAGGAGTGCTAATTCATCGACTTTGACCTTAAAGAAATGCATCTAATCATCAATCTTCTTCATACCCTTGATGAAGCGATGCATATTGTCCTTGATTTGTTTGATGTGACCACGAGAGGACCGACCGTATGTCGAAGCAAGCGTGGTCCATGCTGCACTGGTTGTCTCGGCACGAGCAATGAGTGCTTGGCACGAAACATTGATGGATCCAAGGAGAGCAGAGAAGATGAGGCGATCTTGTCGAAACCACGAGTTGTAGGTCGGGTTTGGTTTCATCACATTGTCTTCGATAATTGTAGGAGGAACATCAAGATCGGGATCAAGATAATCCTGCAGATCATAACCTTGGAGTAAGGAGCGAATTTGAAGGCTCCAGGTTAGGTAATTTGTGGCCGAAAGTTTGGTGATATTGGTAACATTGATGTTAACCAATGGAGAGGGCAAGTTCTCGGCGTTTGCGGTGGTTGCCAGTGGGTCAGAAGGAAGGGTGGAGCCGTCGGAGTTTGTATTGTCAGTAGACATTGCGGTGGCCAGAAAAAGAGATTAAGAGATCAGAAAAAAAAGTCGTATGACTATAGGAGCTCTGATACCATGAACGATATCGAGGGTTTTGGAAAGTAATTCTCTCTTAAGTATTATTGATGAATATAATACGTACTTATATACAATTGAGTTAGGTAAATTATAGAAACTAAATAACAAAGAATAAGGAGTGATTGAGAGAGAATATTGGTATACGATAACAAAAGAGATATCAAAAGATATCCTTTCCATTACCCAGGAGGTCATCCATCCTAAGACTACTTGATAACACGTATTTCGGGTGATGTTTTGATATAGGATGTCTAGCGTATTTCACTCGATTTTACATATTTGTAGACATTGTAGGGCATATTTGATTTCGATATTGGTTGGTTGTGTTATTTGGTGTTTAAACTCACTCAAATCCGATATCGGAGTAGAAAGTTATGAGCGAATTTGTGAAACCCATCAAAACTGTTAAGTGACACGATCGTGTCATTTTCAGCCACACGATCGGGTCACTTACTAGATTTTGGAAATATTCCGAATTTTGGCCCATAAAAAGAAGAGTTAACTAGGGTTAGCCTCCAAAGTCGAAAATATTCAGACTTTTGACAGAAAATACCTAGAGCACACAAAAGAGGGAGATTATCAAGAGGAAAGAGATTGGAGTCGAAGACGGAGATTACGAAACCAGGAAATCGAATAAGCATTCTTCCTTTCTTCTATTTTACGATGTTTTGTATTATTGATATGAACTCTGACGTCTCGATGTTTAGCGAATAGTTCTTTTGCTGTAGGTTAGGGATTTGCTATGTAGGGATCTTTGGTTTTTAAATCCAAACTCTGTGAATTTATTTATTCTATTCGGTTTATTGAATTGTTCTTAATGTGTTCGATCTTATTAACCGCTTGATTGAATGGACTTAGGGTTTTAATTCACATAGAGATATGAGATTCTAACCTGGAAATAATTCAATAAATAGAACAGGTATTGCATCGAGAGATGTATATTTGCCTAGGGATTATGATAGCGTCCGTTCATGCATCCAGGGTTTTAGACTATCGAATCGAGAGATTAGTAGGATAAAACATGGATAGTGAGGTTAGCCTCGAGAGAGTTAATCTCTACTTTAGAGCTTGAATTCCCTGAGTTGAATAGATAAACCACTGAGTTTGCATCTTTTGAAAGATCCTTGCATGTAAAGCAATCCCGAAGCCAGCAGTACTCATCATTCATAGTTTACAACCGTTTTATCGTTTCCTTTACTACACTCTCATACCCACATTATTTTCTCTGGATTTAGACTAAGATTTGGATTTGATTTCTTTGTCTGCTTTTGTCCCTGTGTTCGACCCTAGCTACTACAATCTATCCGTACACTTGCGGTATTTGTTGAGTCTAGGTTAATTATCACTTGATTCATATTTCTGCACCTAGATTGATGACATCAAGTTTTTGACGCCGTTGCCGGGGACAATTTAGGCAACATGATTAGATCCTATCTTGTATGGGTATTGTTTGTTTTTCTTTTTCTTAAGTGATTTCTCACGTTTTCTTCATTTGTTTTTGTTTTTCGTTTGGTGCACAGGTTTTTCTAGTTATGACCAAGAGTGATGGGACATCAGACCTAGTACCTCTTGATCGTGAGCTTGAAAGGACCGTTAGATACATCCGACGTCGACGAAGACAAATGGAGAACGACCGAGATTTTGCTCTTCCCGATGGTGCGAGGGCAATGCTGATTCAACCTTTGCCCAGTACAACACGCCTAAGCACACTGAGCTTTTGGCTGGTATTCGACTACCAGCCATCGACATTGTTGGTTGTAATGCTCTAGGATGATCCGTGATATGACATTTTGACTTTGTATTGATTCATTGATTTATGAATGCATTACATTCCTGTTATATGATTGGCATGTTTGTTATATTTCGGTATCCATGAATCATTATAGAATGATTCTAAACACCCTGGTCAGTTATCATTGTGGGAACAATGATGAATTAAGACTAGCATGAGGTGTGATCGATGCATTGGATGCATATCACAATCATGGGTACTCGTTGTGAACGAGTGACTGGTTGACCCGCATGAGATTGTCACATGGACAAAGTGATGACTATTTATGAATGCATTGCATTCCCGTTATATGATTGGTATGTTTGTTATATTTCGGTATCCTTGAATCATTACAGAATGATTCTAAACTCCCTAGTCAGTCAATATTGTGGGAACAATGTTGAATTAAGACTAGTATGAGGTGTGATTGATGC